GGTGAGGTGTTGTGCCCTTCAAATCTCTTTTCCGGCTTCGCCCATGACGACTGCTCCTGCGCTCTGACGTGAAGCTAGGGGTACCTAGGCAACCAAATACCTACAGTAGGTATCTAGGTAGCCAAGCTGTCTTGCAGTTTTTAACTACAGCCAAGAACAAAAGCCCTCTCCTACCCCTACTCCTGACCTCCCAGATTTGATTCTTTCAGGTTCATTCTCCAGGTTCTGCTGGACAGGCCCAGCCCAGTCCAGTCCGGACCACTTCTTCTTTCCAGTACCAGGACCTCATGCGGGCCCTAGTCCTGCTTGTAAGAGTAACAGGTTGACAAGATAGACCTGTAAGAGAAATAAGATCAATTCCATGTCTGCATCATTCACTGCTGTTAGCGCAGCTTAAAAAGAGTGCCCCCTTGTGTCCTGAAGGGAGAAAAGCATGTGACTTAGCAGACAGAAGACGCACAGAACAGGAGAAATGACCATCAGTGGACACTACTGGACCAGATCCCTAGAGACAAATCAGAGTGAGGAGGGAAAATCTGACCCTGCCTGGCGATCAGGAGGTTGTGCAAACACTCTGACATGCCCAAACCCTCACCTTACCCCAGTTCTAGGCCTAAGCCTGTCCTAACCTACCTGCCCCTGCCTGCCAGCCACCAGCCTGTGAGTCCCTCTTCCTCAGAATTGACCACCTCTCCCAGGATGCATCTGGTTCCTTCTGCTGGTGTTTGTCAGCTCAATAACAGCTGCGCTACCTGTGTCAACAGCACAGGAGGCGACTCAGTGACCACGAGGCGCACAGAGCGATGGCCTATCAGACAGAAGTGATCAACTCCCAGCCCCAGGTCACCGTCACCAGCTACACCGTCTCCAGGACGACCTCCGACTGGAGCTCCAACATCTGCGACTGCTGTGGCGACTGTGGCATCTGTGAGTCTGACTGTGTGAGCCTGACTGTGTGTCTGTGAGTCTGTCTGACTGTGAGCCTGACTGTGTGTCTGTGAATCTATCTGACTGTGATCCCGACTGACTGCATTCAGTCTGTGTACTTGTGCATATGATTGTGAGTCTGTCTATATGTGACATTGTCTGTGACACTGTCTGCTAGTCTGTGTCTGTCTCTGAGTCTGGTGATTGTGAGCCTGAGTTTGACTGTGAGTCTGTTTGTAAGTTTGAATTTCTAAAAGTCTATTTTACTTCCTTATGTCTCTGTGACAGCCTGCTTGTCTGTCTCTACCTGCCTGTCTGTCTGTATCTCTGCTTGTCTTTCTGACAGCCCCTGTCTGTCTGTATCCCTGTCTGCCTGTATCTGTGCCTGTCTCTCTCCCTGACTGCCCCTGTCTGTCTGCCTGCAGGCCTGTGTGGGACCTTCCTCCCCTGTATCCTGGCCTGTCAGGTGGCCCAGGATCAGGGTGAGAGCTGCTGTCTGCCCTTCCTGCCAGGAGCTCTCATCGCCCTGAGGACCAGCATGCGGGACAAGTACAGCATCGAGGTGAGGGGCT